GCGATTTTGGAGGTGTCGAAAACGCTTGAGCGCAACATCTCGGTTGTTTGGTAGTTGAGAATCCTCAGTTTTCCACAACATACCAATTTCATAGTGTCCATCGACAATCACTGCTGATTCTTCCATCATCTTTTCTGCTTTCTTATCTTCGACGGACATTGCCTTCTTGATACTCGTTACCACACCAAGACCATCTTCATAGAAAAACCGATTCACTTCGTTCTTAAAAGCTATGTCTTCCATATCGGCGTTTGTACGCTGCAAAAGATGGACGTCAACTTGACTTGTCTGAGGCCGATTTGTTGGTCCCATCAAGGCCCATCCCAACTTGTATTTGAATCCCCAAGGCTCCTCCGCGCCACCTGCTCTGATTTCGTGAGTTATGAAAACCTCGGGATTATCAGCACCAATCAGAACGAGAATGTCCTCCAATTCAACTTCTGGGAAGTCGATGTCTGACAGGTGTTTCCATGCTCGTACGTCATCCCTTGTCGGTGCGACTTTTAGCTGCACGTCTAAACTGTCCGTAACGATTACGTCCCTGGCTAGTAATCTCGAACCGTGGCTAGTTTGGTTTGCTGATTCCAAGACGATATTAACTTTTTCTGTTTCAATTGAGATTGTTCCAGTCAACGACTTCACCGACAATGTACCTCTCGAACCCTTCAAATTAAGTTTCTTTGCTAAGCTGGTATGGATAAACGAGGCTTCGCTAGCTTGATCTAACAGGGCGTAGGTAGTTATCTCTCGACCATCAGCACCATGTACCTTAACTGCCACGACTGGAAGCGCTGTCGTGCCTCGACTTACTTGTGGAAGGACATTCGCAGCGTTCGTCTGACGAAATACTACCGTCTGCTTACCCGAGCTGCATTCCCTTTGTTTTAGGAGCCAATCATATGGCAGTGTTCAAAAAAGTTTGAGCCAATTGGAAGCCGCCTTATTGAGAGATTAGCTACAGGGGAAACCCCTTGCACATGCATTGGAGTATATTGTTTGGGTTGAAACTTGAAATTTGTTTACTTGCGTGGATATATTTTGGAAACTATAGCGTTGAACTTCACCATGTTTACGTAGAATAATATTGTGATCATATTCTCGCATGTTCAGCAAACAATCTGTGTATATAAAGTGCTAAAGCAATGCAGAAGGCGAAATTTAAATTTTTGTTAACAATTACAAACAATCAATCGGGAAACTCGAGTATATCAGGATATGTCCAAATGTTGCTCTTGATACTTCCTATATGCCATGACTTCGACGAAAACTTCTAAAAGATTTAATAAGCTCTCATTGTCATGCAGAAAAGTATAGCCAAGTTAGAGTATAAACGTTTCGAAGTTTGGGCGAATTGGAAAATTCATCACGGCGCAATTTTAATACAAGTTTCTCGGGTTTGTGTTGTGTTTACAGTTTACATTCAGAAGTGGTTGCTCAAACAGCAAATTAGTTTACTTTGAAGCTAATATTTCGCTTTCTAAGCCACAGTATTATATAAAATTTTATGTCTTCCGAGTTCTGTTGTCTTTAATTTAATATAAAGATTAACCGTTAAAATTTCAGCGAAATATATTCTGCATTTGATGCTGTCTGGCTAAGATTCATACAGTATAAATATGCCAATCCTGTCCGCGTTTTAAATATAACCGAACATCTTTAATTTCCAAATCTGACTATTAATGGTGCATTTTATTACCTGGACAAGTATCAGTATCTTTAAATTCAATTTATGTGTAATTTTGACCAAAATTCAACCGACGACTGCTTTCAAAATATATATTTATATTTATTCCGCTCCTAAATCAACTGACGTCACTTTCCAGAATATGGAAGGTAAATTCTGATTGGTCGACGTAGCGGAATTCAGTTTGGCGCTCGGGTAGGCAGACGGTAGTATTTCGTCGCTTGGCGTAAGAACTACAACGTCTGTGAGCAGGCTAGCCGGAAGCCGGATGCCGGAAAATTCGTTAAATCCGGCCGGAATTCCGGCCAGATTTGAAATCCGGTGCACCCCTAATGGTCTCAACCGTTTTGTTCAAGATTTTCTGAAATATATTGCGCGGAATTAATTAACGGGGAAGAGTGTTCATCAAGTTTGTCTTTGCATTATTTTTTTGGGTTCGTACTAATTACCGACAACCACCGTCAAATACCGACAACAAGCAGACAAGTACGGACAACAAGCAGACAAATGCCGACAACAGCCGTATATCGACAAAAGCTGTGGAAACGTTTGTCTCGACAGCTTTAGCCGGGATTGTATCATGCATGGATTTATTCATTTTTGTATCATTTTTGTATTTTTTAGTATGCGTGTCATGGTGGGCATGTCAAAGTATGCGAAATGCTCGTGTTTCGACGTAGTGCAGCAATACAAGAGCGTTCATTTGGTGAAGGATACGTAGCTCTACATATAGCTGCCATGCGAGGTCATAAAGATTGTGTAGAACTTTTATTAAGAGTAGGAGCACCTCCACAACCAAGAACACATGATGGAGACACACCCAAAGATCTCGCTAAAGATAATGGATATTACGACTTAGCAGTTTATTTAGGTGAGCAGTTTATTGATAGGCACTGATACTTTCGAGTAAAACATTAATTCTCACAATCAACACTGAAAGATGCTATCTCTTGTCAACGCCTGTCAACGCCTGGCCTTCGCCAGCAACTTTTTGTTGCTTTCTGATAATAATCTGGATTTTACAACTCTAATTTTGCTTACTTGTTTTGACAACAATATTAGCGGAGTCGAATTGTTGCGTTACAATCACTGACCTGAATCTGCCTCGTATACCCAGGCGTCTCTTTGTAAAAAACAGCAATGCGCGTATGACGAGTTTACATGAAGTATTGTAGTGGTGAGAGAAAGGTCCAACAGCCCCTTCGCGCGTCGCCTGCCTGCCTAAATACTTCACATATTATATTTAATATTTAAAGCGCCTGGGTACGAGGCAGGGCCTGAATAATAATAGGTCAGTGGTTACAATGCACGCTTATTGCTCTAATATTAACGGATCAATTTGAGCGAGAATTTGTTCCGGGGTACTTTTTGTGCAGATATTAGAGCAAACGCCTCACGACCATGTTAATTGTTTGAAATGATTTTTTCAGAAAGTTTTGTTGTTCCTGCCCCAAAGTCGAAACCAAAACACTGGCTTCATGAAAACGTGGATAGAGAGGTATTCATCCCATTAGCACTGTATTATTAATTTGCTTTGGATACTGACTTTTCGCTCATGATTACTTTTCTCCTGATGCGAAACCTCTGCATTTCCAGTTACCCCCTACCCCTCCTCTATTTGTCTACAGTATGAAGTAAAGATAGGGGTTATAATGGGATTATTTTAAGTGACCAATATTATTTACCTACTACGATTACTCCTTTCCATGATTAAAGTCATACTAAATTAAATACTTGAAAGTCCTGTTGAGAGATTAATCATTTCACAAATATTACTCAAGTCTAAATTTTGATAAACAAGGACCGTTGATCACTTTCTCTGCTCGCGTTCTGTTTGGTGAACAAAACCCGAATTTATGAATCAGATAAAGTGTACTTGAATGTACATTGAGCGTAAACCTTTGCTTTGTTTTTTTAATGGTTCACAGGCAGCAGTGGCGTTGTTATATAAATGGCAATGTACTGATGGATTATTTCTAATAAGATCCAGTAGAGAGCGTGTAGCCTGGAGTGTTCACGTTCTAACTATGGCTGTACGAAATATGCCTTATCATTTTCAGATAAAAAGCAAGGTATGTGAAGCCCAGCGGGCCACTTCTGACTGTTCTGTCACGTTATAACGTTCTGCTGTAGTGCTGTGTGTCTACATGACAGGATGTATAAAAAGAAGAACATTTTCAAAATTATGTGAATATATATGGTAGTTAAGATTCTTCTGATTTCTTGAACATTTTTTTTCTAAATTGGCAAATTGTGCTGCAACTTGCTTCTGGTGCAGAGTCATGTTATGTAAAAGGTATTCACAGTAAAACTGAGAACTTGCCCCACATTTCATTCCGCCTGTCTTTTCCCATTGGAAAAATATCAGATCACTGATTTTCTGTTAAATGTTAATATTTGTGCGTTGCATTTAAGGTTGTAGCAAAAACTGCTTACTTCGTGTAACATGGCTGTATGACTTAAAAGTCTTTTCCGGACCGTCTCGGTCACTAATTAAAAAATGGACTTTTTGCCGCATGACTATTCCGTGATGGTTGATTTCATGCATAATGAAATTTCTTTCAATTTATGTACACATCTTTAGCAGATGGAACTTTAAGTTTTAGAAGGTGGAAGACTCTTTCTTAACGATACTCACATTCATAAATTTTAAATTTTTTTACAATTTTTTTTTCAATTTAGTAGCCATTTGAAAATTTCTACTTTTTTATACATCCTGTATATTACTATTTGTTAAGTAGAACACGTTAGAAACATACTGATTGTATCTGAGTTCTTCCATCGAACTTTGCCAGATATGCGACAGTTTCTCCAGGTTCTGAATTTGCATTTTTCAACTGTTCCTAAAATGTGCGTGAAACAATGGAAGATGTAACCGCATCATGTACGTCATCATTCTCGTACCCAGAGCCCTTCTTACGCGCGGTGCGACGAGGGGCTCTGGCCAAATCCATATTCCGAACTGGCATCTGATTGGCTAGTTCTAACACCGGACATTGTTTTCTTACCATGTTTTTATGGTATCCGGTTATGGATTTGGCCAGAGCCCCTCGTCGCACCGCGCGTAAGAAGGGCTCTGGGTACGAGAATGGTACGTCATGCAACGCAAACAAAGTACATAATATGTATTTACAACGTGTTTATGTTACATGTTATATTTATACATGTTTGTTAGTGATTGACCGATTGTGCAACAATCCAGCCTCGTCCCCTTGCGCTTTGATTCGCTTCGGAACCCGCGCGTCTAAGTTGGAGCCTGGGGACGAGGCTGGTAACAAACAAATTACCGATTATTCATGCCACAATCTACCCGATGCCGATACCGATTTTATAATGACGTCATAATATAAGTCGACCGAGTAAAGGTGACGTCATTCATGTTGATTTTTTAACGATAATTTCCAACGTAACATTTTACTGCAACCAAAGATCGTTAAAACCGTTGATAAATGACACGCTTCACGCATTAATTTAACCTTAACATATTGCGTTAAAATGCAACGTGTATCAACGTGCAATGCATATAAGTGCTTATTTTCTCAACAATCGGTTTTACACAATCAGAAATATAGACTATTAATTCTACCGATTCCGATTGTCTACCGAAGTACCGATAAGGCAAAAATCGGCCCCGATACCGATTATCGGTCAATTACTATAATGTTTGTCTTTCTTAGGGTGACCGTTGGTTTTACATTGATGATGGTCCATTATTCGAAACTCTACCACACCTGGTTGACTATTACGGTGCATTAGCTGATGGTTTACCACACCAGTTACTACGAGCTATTCAACCAAATGGAAATCCACCAATAGCTCTACAGTACAACACGATACCATTACCATCTCCATCTATACCTAATTTCAATAATCATATTAATACTCTTGTACCCCAGGTACGTCAACTATCATGGCTAGTGGCTGGCATCATGGCCTATTCTAGTGCGCAGCGTTGCACACGTTGTGCATGCAGTATTAACTGGAAATTGTGCAATATTGAAAATTTGAAACTTTGTATTACAAGACAGTGCTATAGTATAAACGTTGAACATGATTTAGGCCACAAGAGTACAAACAAAGGAGAGGCAGGCGCTACGGTTAAGATTAATGATAATGAACATGAAAAAGTTCAAAAGGAAATTTTCAACCGTTTTTAACAAATAAATAGATGTTGCGTTATTAAGACAACCCTCAAAAACAGTATTCAGGCTCATTTGTCATAAAATAGGCCAGAACACCTGTCATAAAATAGGCCATGATTGGTAAACGGTTTTGGCAAGTGGTCTGTTATGTGCCATTGTTCTAATTCAATGAAAGCATCGGTTTTAGTATATTGTATATCACGATGCTGGTGGCATGGTATGTACAGTAGTGCACGTACCCTTAATTTGACCACTGCAACCAGATTCGATTTCTGCAATAAAGTCGCATGTAAAAAGAATACTTTCAATCTACCGAACACCGCAGGTTTTCTCCGCTACTCAGATTTCCTCGTACAATATTACTGGATCAAAGAGCGATGACCCTTACTGGACCTCTAGGAAGAACAGTCTAAGACTGATAAAGCCACCAATATAATAAGTAGTTTTGAAATCGTATACAGGTAAAAGGTATACACTTCTTATGTATTTACAATATTATCATTATTAGCCTCCACCCAAGCCTCCGATAGTACGTCGTGCAAAAAGCCTTGATACCCCAGACGATGACCCTAATGACTACCTCAAGTTAGAAGAACAATCATCACGACAACCTCCTGGGAGAAGACAACCCCCTCCCCCACCCAAAATTAATCCTCCCCCACCCAAAATTAGTCCTCCCCCACCCAGAATTAGTTCCTCGAAATTTAATAGACCCCCGCCCCCGCTTCCCACCCCAGAGCACGAAAGCAAACCACGAACAATTATTAACTTGAGTGAACTTGAGAAAAGTACGGAACTTGGGCAAGGAGAGTTTGGTTCTGTCTTACGAGGAGTGTGGAGGAATCCTAATGGCGCTGCTGTGAGTAAATACATATAATGTGGTAATCGTTAAAAGATGCTGCATGTTATAATCATAAACAATTTTACTAACGAGGTTATAGTTGAAGGATGCAGTTACATGAATAGTGTAGACAATATTTGGACATTTCGAGCTTAGGCTCTTCGTCTGGAAGTAAGTATTCCATACGAAGGACTTTCATTCAAGACGTCGAAGTATTTCCTATATGTTCATGTTGTTGCATTATTCTACAACCTCGTAAAACTGTGCATGGCTACCTACACTAGAACACTCAAGATGAAGCAACCTTGTTCTATGAAGTTTTTCCGCAGACCACCCGCGATTGGTACAGCCGCAGCAAGTTGTATTCTTCCGAAATCCCTCTAGTTTTACTTGTAGACGTATACACATAGGCGTATGAGAGCGGGGAGCGATGGGGGCAGCTCCCCACCCAATCATTCTTCTTAAAAAAAGGGCAATTCTAATTAAAATCGGGCAAGTTAGTGAAGGGAAACGCTCCGGGTATTAAAATCGTCAAAAAAGGAAGAAATATGTAACGTTGGCAAAATGTCGTAACTGAATTCTCGAAACTGATGACCCGCCGCCGAGTTCCCCCCCCCCCCTTCACAAATTACGGGACATTTATGACGCAAAATTATTATGGTCCACCCCCACCCCCTATTTTTTCCTCCAGTACGCCTATGCGCATACAGATTTGAGTAAATTTTTCATCCAAGTAAACGTTTAAATATTGAGTTGATTAAAATTCTGCGTTACTTCTATTATTTTGGACATCAAAGGGGGCCGCAGGTTCTGTTATTGATATCCACTACAAATACTTATTTTTGTTCATTTATAGATGGAGGTGGCACTTAAAACACTTCATCCAGATAAAATTACACAAGGAGAACAGGTACTGTATTCTGTGGTTTTAGTTGTGCTGTTGCTAGTGCCGTCCTGTACTGTACTGTACTGTACTGTACTATACTATACTGTTCTGTGCTGTACTGCGCTGTACTGTGTACTGTACTGTACTGTACTGTACGGTACCGTATTATACTGTACTGTACTGTACTGTCTTCGTCATCGTTCGTTTTTGCGTTCTTGGTACAACGTCCACCAAGTTTGTGCGAGAAGTTTGCTCCACTAACCTCTTCCTCAAGAAATCTGTTTTTGTTGATTTAAAAATATGATATCAATCTTGTCACTAACGTGTTTGTTTGATTCCAGGAGTTTTTGCGTGAAGCTCAAGTCATGTCAGGTCTAAACCATCCATGTATTGTTAAACTTCTTGGCGTCTGCCTTGGACCACCTCTTATACTTGTAAGTATTATCAGTGATCGTTTTACCTGCAGAAGATTTTCTTTACAAATGCACTATGTTGTGTGATTTTAAAGATAAGTTGGTTTGGGGAAGATTTATATATTAATAAAGCTGAACAAAATATTTATTATAACTTTTTCAGGTGCAGGAATTAGTGAGTATGGGTGCGTTGTTGGATTATCTTACTACTTTTGTGGAAGAAATATATTTGGGTGATCTCAAACTGTGGGCTGCTCAAATTGCTTGGGGAATGATGTACCTGGAGGAAAAACGTTTTGTACATCGTGATCTTGCGACGAGGAATATTCTATTACAGTCTAAAAACCAGGTACGTAAAGTGTTTATGCAACAAAATTTCACACGTTTTTATGATTGCATTGGAAGGAAAATTCAAATTGACCAAATAAGATACTTTGCCAAACTATTTTAACTTACTTCACTCTTGAGATATTTAACAATTTTTGTTAATTATGCAAATTATCCTCACTATGACGTCACATTTTGTAATGTTTCTGAAAAATCTTTTATAACTCTTATAACTGATCCAAAATAGGTCGACATTAATAAAATATATATTACTCTCATCAATATAACATAACACATATGAACGGTTTTATGGTTTCGATGCACAATATCTCAAGATCTTGAAGTTTTTAAGAAAGCATTTTAATGTGACGTCATAGTGAGCATATAAAGATGTTTTAAAAATATCTCAAGAATAACGCAAACTGAGATAGTTCGGCAATTGCAGTTTGCAAAGTACTGTTTTTGAAAAACGGCCTATGAAAAATAATGTAACAATTGATAGGCAATCGTAATTAATTAATTAATTGAATAAATTTATAGATACAACAACAAGTACAATCATAAAAAATGGTGTTGCATAAGCACTTTAAATCATAAAACAATTTCATGTATAAGCACTTTAAATCATAAAACAATTTCATGCATAAGCACTTTAAATCATAAAAAAAATTCGAGCATAAGCACTTTAAAGTGCAAATGACGCGCAACCGTTTATTGTTGCGAACGAACTCAAAAAACGAACGAACTCAAAATTTTCTTTAATAAAGCAATGCAAGGGACTTGACTGCATGCACGAATTAATTGGATCTATAAACTTGTCTTTTATGGTGCATGAAAATCGTCTTTGATGACTGTAGATTGAGATATATAGTCGGCCACCCATTCTCTCGCTACCTATACGACTAAATGTAAACATGGCTGAAGGGAGATTGTTTTTTTCCCATATGTGTATATCTTCAAGAAAACATAGGCCCACTGTCATATATCTAATGAAAAACCAAACCATTTACTTCGTTTAGATAAAAATAAGTGATTTTGGTCTATCGCGAGCAATTGGTTCTGGAAGTAATTATTACATAGCTTCAAAAGGTGGTCGATGGCCTGTCAAATGGTAAGTGCTGTATTTTGTTGCCAGGGGATTTGGTTATCTGGGGCCGGTTGTATAACACTCTCATCGTCTACTTTTAAACCACTATTTTGTAGTTAAATATAGCATATCATTTTGATTGGTTAACTTTCACAATACCTGCAGATTGTATAGTGTAACTCAAAGAACACATATACACTTGTAATTTTTGCAGCAAATTACTCCATGCCACATCGACTTTCCGGGAAATGTAGAAGCCGAAGTATTTGTCCACATTTGACATCATTATGGTCGATTGACCTATTTTAAGCAGCGTATGTAGCTAAAGAAAGCAACTTGAACTCAAGGGGAGCATAATGTTTTAATGTATAAAACTCTTAACTACTTTTTAACTATCCGTTTTGTAGTTAAATGGTGGTTAAATTTAACCACGTAGTTAAGTCGGTTGTATAAAATTGTAGTTAGCGTTACTGACTGCAGTTAAAAAGTAGTTATTACACTGACCTGAAAGGTCAAGTGTCTTAAATCCTTAATTTTCTGTTTTATTATGGTTTTTTCCTGTATTTTCCAATGTATTTTTCGTCGTCGAGAAATCGAGTTTGCGTAAAGCGTTTGGGGTTCACGATTTGTATTCTTGTCTATTTGCACCATAGCACACATGTGCTGTATTTTAATGGCGGACGGTCGTACAATTGTGAGCTCTGATGAGAAGTATGATTCGGGCAAGAAATTAATCATTGATCAAGAGAAATATACTGATAATGTTGTGAAATATTTAACAGTAAGTGATAAAGGCAAATTCAAATGGAATGGTCCCTTCCAAAGCCTAAAAATGTTGATGACCGAATTGACAAAGAACGAATCAAAATGGTCGGCATCTGGTGGTTATTGTAAATTGCTCGAACTAAACGATTTAGCTGTAAGATGGTATGCAGACAGTAAGTCGCTTACAGTAAATGGGAAGTTGAGCGACGATATTAAATCCAAGCTTCGAAATATTGCCGGCCTAGCACGTCCTGCAGTTGAAGTAACAAGTAATAACTATAAAGAAGCCGAACATGCGGCAATAAATACGGGACGCATGGATGCATCTGATAGTAGCTGTAGCTGTGCTTATATTAATGCTGATATGGAGGGTATTAAATTAGACCTTACAATTCTGGAATCGCGGCTGCTTACTGCATTGTCGGAAAATGAATATGAGTCGGACATTAACTTGCTTAGGGTAAAATTAAAAGAATTGGAAGGCGTTGTGCGGAATAAAGATGAAGTTAATCGCCGACTTATCGAGGAGAATGTATTTTTTTAAATCAAAGTTATTATTCCTCGAGAAGCTAGTGCTTAGTATGTCCCAAGACTATCAGAACAAAGGTAGTGGATCAGGTAACCCAATTAGCATTATAGAGGAATCGCCAACGCGTGACAGTGACCAACTTAGTAGCTTGAATAAAAATAGTTTGAGCTCATCTCGCAATACTAACAACAGTCTATCTCGTGATAACGAACTAAGTGCTAATCTAACTGTAAATAATATTGATCTTCAACAATCTATAGTCTCGAATACTATTGATATTGACCTTAGGAATTCGAGCTTTAACGTTGTTGGAACACGCACACCTCAGGAACAAAATCAAATCCCATTACATGTTAGACAACAAGCCACTGAGGTGAATACTAGTAATATCGACCTTAGTAACCTGAGTCAACAACTCAATGACCCGAATACTAATGACATTGACCTAGGGAATATTAATGAGTCGCCTTCAAAGCAAATACTAGTACCGAGTAAACAGAAAAAAGATACTGGTACATTAGTGAATAGAACCTCGAAGCCCCTAAAATCACAACTTGAAAAAGAAGATAATAATACTGGAAAAGGCACTATACCCTGCCCATTTTTTAAGCGTCGAGAGTGGTGTGCAAAGGGAAGGCGTTGCGATTTTAAACATCCACGTGGTGAACAATAACATTTGGTGCCCTGTCCCTTTTTGCAAAATCGAGGCTATTGCTTAAAGGGTAGCGGGTGTGATTTTTCCTACAGTACCAATCATAACAGAACGGCATCACGGCCTGTTAATAACCATC